AATCGTATAACAATGGATTGGTTCTCATGGCTCTCGAGAACAAATCTCGAAGCTTCACTCATATACGAGTACGGTCTCTCCTTCTCCCAAAACGAGCTCGAATACGAAGACGTTGTTTACTTCAACCACGAATTTCTCCAGAGCATTGGGATCTCAATCGCAAAACACCGTCTCGAGATCCTGAAACTCGCTCGCCGTGATCGGAAACCATCTCCTCTCACCGGTCGTTCGATTTCCAGAGTCCTGATTGCGATTCGAAAAACAGGGAAATGTTTCTCTGAGTATGTTAGGGCTTGGATCCGTCGCGAGGAATCGTCGTCGTCTAGGGCACTCGTGATTGTGCCGAGTAGTAGCGGAAATTGGAGATGGAGAGGTTCGTTGTTGAAGAGGAGTAAGAGATATGTGATGCCGAGTAATGGAAATGGCGGATTTGGTGGTGGTGGTAAGGAAGAGAGGCTTTTGTTGACTAATGGGACTCCAACAAGTAGGTTTGATAGCTTCTCGAATTCGATGGTTTCTGTTTCTGATTACGGTTTGAAAGAAGAGAAGAATTGTGGTGATGATGATGATGGTTATTGGGGGAAAGATGTAGAAGAAGAGATTAAGTGGGATTCAATGTTTCAGAATCTGAAACCTACTTGAAAATCTTGGAATTTTGCTTCTTCTTCTTCTTCGTTTTGGGATTTGTCTCTGATGCAAGAATCAGATATAGAGCTTGAAAGATGGGATTTTTTAAGGGTTCTTCCACTATGGGTTTTTGAGTAATGGAGCTCTGTTTCCAGAGTGTGTGGTTATGTTTTTGTTTAGTTTTGTAAATTAGCAATTATATGATAGAGTTGTGTTTTTATCAGTGTTCTAAAATACGCTATACGCTAGTCGGACGGTGGACCACCGTATAACGTATAGACGTATACGCAGACATTTATGCAGGGTATATACGGTAGATATTTTTGCATATTTATGCATATATATACAAAAATATTTTGTTTTAATAGATAATAGAAAAAATATTATTATGAATTCTATAAAAAAAAATTAAATAATTAATTCAAATAATAAAATAACATAATTGAAAATTGTTTCAAATAACAAAAAATAGAATTATATCAATTATANTTTTGGAAAAANGNNNAAAANANNNNTTNNNTTNNAANNTTTNGNAAAATATANNTGTTAAAATTGTATATTTGATCATTTAGTTATCGTATATAAAAATATAATTTTTTTTCATTTAAAAATATGTATAGCATAAATACGGTACGGTCAGCCACTGTATAGCGTCTGGACGCCGTATATGCAGACGCCTGGACCGTATTTTTGAACACTGGTTTTGATGTATCATGTAACCAAAGTTTTTTTTTTTTTTGGGGTCAAAAACCAAAGTCTCTCTATATACATGTTCCTTGTTGCATGTCAAGTTTAAGTAATGGTTTTGAGAATCAATTTTAAAGGCTTTTAAAAACTTTTAGAAAGCAAGCATTTGCGTCTTTAAGATTTGGATACAAAGGAACAGAACAAAGAAAGTTCAAGAGCAAGTAAAATGGATAATAGTGCATCACTGAAGTTTAGCTACTAATGAGAACTCTGCTTAAAAGGCCTGCGAGTTATTATTAATGGTGGTGGAAGCAGCAAAACCGGTTGCTATCGAGGCGCTTGAGACTGTAGGAAAGAGCAAACAAGAGGAGATTAGAGACCCATCCATAAAACCAGAATATTCAGAGAGACTAAGCAACAGAATTAATTCTATCTCTTTATTGTTCAACATCTATCTCTTTTCTCAAACTAAGCAACACAATTATTCTACCAAGAAACCCCAACTGATATAACTAAACAATGAAAAATGAGACATGCAAGTAAAGAAAGAAACCTAAGTGATAAGAGGCATACAGAGGATAGCATATACCTTAGTTTGGAAATAGCCGTTGCTTTGCTTCTTCGTCTTCCCATTCTAGTTCTTGAATCCATTCCTTCTCTGCGCTGATGACGAGAGTGTGTCATTGCACGCTTGCAAAATTAAGCGGAAGTTTTCTCAAACGTGGACAGCTTCTTATCTTGATTTCTTTTAATTCTGGAAAAGGCAGAGCCTCCCAATGGAATGCAAGTTGTATATGCAAATAGTATGCAAGTAACTCATGAGTAATTTGTAAGTACTCGCAAGTAACAAGTCATTTTGTACGTACCTCTTTTTAGCAAGTACGTACTCGTTTTCAACAAGTATGAATCAATCTTATGTCATTATCCCGTTAAACTGTTTGTAAAGACATGTGATTTTTTTGCATACAAACGGTTGCATCTTAAATTTAAGACAAGCTTGTTATTTCATTAGATTTTTAAGTTCATTAGGAAAGGACCAACTGGACTCCCACATGTAAATGGTTGATCCGATTCTTGCCATGATACTTGGTTTGGACCTTTACAACCACATCAAATATTCAGAGCGGAAACCATATCCGTACCTAATCGATTAAAATCTGGTTAAGAGTAAACAACCTCGGTTTCAAACTATATATTCATAATCAACCCAACGATCCAATAAACCACGAAAAAGGGAGACTTCTTAATTTTAAAAAACAGCAAAATTGCATATTTATATAAAATATCGTAAGAATCTGGTCTGTATACATAGAGAAATCATTGGTATGATGAAAATCTCATTACCTGAAACAATTCACAAACCGGAAATCTTTAGGCTTAGCCTGAACAAACGCCATTGATTGAGATCCCAAAAGTGGCAATGGCATGTAGTAGCAGTGTCACAAAACTGAAGACTTTCCGGTTCGGTATTGGACTTGAGAATCTCTGATTGTATAAAATCTACAAGATCGTGAAAACTGCTAAAAATGTATCAATCTGATTTGCTTTCGAGGCTGTAAATGTTGCCAATGGTTCCAACAATGCTAACCACCACCGCCAAGATCAGCATCAACCACGATACGGATTTCTCCACGAGGCTTAACGAATTGGTCTCTTTCCCTAACCGTAATGCGATAAGAGCAGGGAACGTAAAACCAAGTGAAACCGCTGATGTTGCGCCTGTGAATTTAAAAGCAGTCCATATATTTGGGATCATCGTTGAGCCGATGTAGATAAGAGCCAGCAAGATCACTGTGAGTCCCAAAGATCTCTTTTTGCTTTCGGAGAGTGGAGGAGATCCTTCGAACAATAAGGTATTGACGGTTTCTCTCAAGGAGAAATGGATCACGGGGAAGACGAGAACTAGA